ATCTTTTTCTTTTTTGGCTGGGAGGTGTAACGGTATAAGCGCAATTTTTTTTTTGGGGGGGGGGCTTAGCCCCTCCCCATATGGTGAGCGGTGACACGAAATTAAAAAAAAGTGTCACAGATTAATGTATGACATTTTTAAAATTGATAAGAATTTTTATTAAAATCTAAACGACGGCTGACGCGCTGGTATAGAGGTTACATTCACGGTTATATATAACCGTGGTTACATTATTACAATCATTGTGGGTAGCCACAAAGTTTTTCAATCCATGTTGAAACCGTAGGTATCCGTAATCTGATGTTGGCAAACGGGCAAAATGTTTACGTGTGTCGTATGCAAGCTGTTCCTGTAAAAAAATTGTTTTATTTTGTTTTTTGTAGAAGCTATGTAATGTTGATGTTGTAACGCTGAAATCGGAAATGTCGGTAGCTAAGAACTGTATTATTCGTTTAAATAAACATGAAGATGTTGAGTTGGAAGATTTGAAGAAACTATTATTAGATAGTCTATCCCAATTTGTACTCACTATTACAAGTAGCATTATCCATTCCTGTAAGTTCAAGTAGTTCAACTACGTGTGAACGGTCGTCCTCAGCAATGAGAAGAATTAAAACATGGCTTAGAACTTCTACGCACCAAGAGAGATTTACAAATCTCTCTTTAATACACATAGAAAGAGATATTTCAAATACAATTAGTACAGAAAATATTTGAGACGAATTTTCTAAAAAAGATCGTAGATTCTCTTTTTAATAATAAAATTCAATATTAATATACAAATGTATTAATTTTTTTTTGTTTTAATTGTTTAAGACATTTGAGTGTATTTTATTGTGTTTCTGGGTGGGTGTATGGAGTGAGAAATCCTGTATATTTTATTTTAAAAGGAGTATCTAAGTAAACAAATTACTAATAATCGTAGTGTGTCAACTGTCAATGAAACATAATACAAAAATCCAGTAAGACTTCAATAGATATGCCGAAGGGTGGTGTGGGGGTGAAACCCCCCACGAGTCTATTTCATATACATTTGTCCAGCCCCCCAAGTAAAATCTTCAAATTGCGCCTATGTTTAACGGACTTACGTATTATCATATAATATGTTATATATCTACATTGTCTTTGTATATAATATTGTTATGCATTACTACACGCAGCCGTAACCTCGACTATTCCATATTTGGTAATCATTTTGGGAACTAATTAAAATCGCACGAGGCAGCAGTTCCACTTCTGTAAGGATAACAACTTTATGATTGATATATCCGGGTGACAATCAAAACACTCATGATTCCATCATGGAAATCAACATCGTATATAAAAAGGGCCAGAAGCACAGCCTAATCAGATGTACCTGAGCCACCAAGACCGGAGCCACTTGACGCCACCAGCCATTATACATCGCTACACCATTATTACGAGATGATACATTACCACGACGATATTATACATATTTTCTGTTATAATAAAAACTACATTTCAATTACTATTCTTAATTGAATACTATTTTATTTCAAAGAATCATCTTTTGGATCCCTGAAGAGTGAAGGGGCAGCACGTAACACTATACATAATATTATTATATTAATGCGAGCGTAAGTTAAATGAAAGAAAACCATATTATAATTTATAAATTATAAATATTTACATAAATTTAATATTCTTATTTCAAAGAACATGTTGAAATTTTAAAATAATTAATATTAAGAAAAATTAAAAATTACATTCAGGATACAACATTTGTTTGCGCCGCAAACTAGAGATGTGTCGTTCGCGAACGAACGGATCGTTTTGAACGGGTCACTCTATTGAACGAGTCGACCCGGGTATGGAAAAAAAAAAAGGTCGTTCACTCGTTCATCGTTCATTTTTTTCGTTGTTATTGTGGTTTCACTGTGGCGAGTCGGTCACCCGGACTCGGGTGACAAAACGGTTCATTTGAACGATTCGGGTTGAGAATTGAATAGAATAATTACTTAAAAATAATTATTATTATTATAATTTTTCATATTTAACATTTAAAACAATGTATTTACAATATAATTTTCGTAGGTTCAGACTTCAGATCAGCTGATCGAGTGTCGCTTCTATATTGTTCTATGGTACAAGTGGTGTCACCTTATCTTCTCTACATCGTGATTATAGCTAATTTCTTATTTTCTTATATTAAAATTCATAGTAAATAGTAATTAATAATTAGTTAGGTTAACAACAAATAGTCACATTATAATATATAGTCATCATATCTTTTTAGAATCAAGTCGAGGTCAGTGAAAAAAATTATTGTACAATTATTTACATATTATGATTTAAAAATAAAATTTGTGATATCTTTTTAGATTCCAGTCTACTTCTGCGGTCAGTGACCACTTGTCCGGCTTTTGAAAATAGCCTTTCACAGGGCACTGATGTTGCCATTAAACATAGACGTCGTTTTACAAGTTCGTACATCCGTGGATAAATTTTTTTTCTTTCAGACCACCAAAGTAACGGATTATCATGTCTATTGATTAATGCTTCGTTTAAATATTTGTCCAGTTCTATTATCCCAGCTGCACCTGTATTATGTCCACCAATAACATTCGTGACAGTTTGATCAAACTCTTTCCATATGTCAGAGCTTTCATTTGGAATTGGTGCTGTCGAAGAAGCTGATGTTTGCTGTGGAAGTGCATCTTGTACGGTCCGTATACTCTGCAGTTTCTCGCGCAACTCTGATATGGCTGTATTACATTTTCGAGCATCAATGAATCCATGTTTTTTAAACCTGGGATCTAATAGTGTAGATTGAGCTACTAGGACATCATCTTCTAACCTTCCAAACCGAATAAACAATTGTTTGTTTAAAATTGCTGCCATGTTTAAAACTTCTTGGGGTAAGGTCACATCATTAATAAATCTTTTTGTATACTTTTGTAAAGCATTTACAAAAATTAATTCTTTTGAAATCGTTATGTATTTTTCAGCACTTATTTCAGTTGTGATATCATAAAATATTTTTAATAGATCTTTTGACTTTTCAAGAATAATCCAATCATTAGGAGTGAGAGGATTAATCTGACTATAATTTAAAATAGCTAAAGTGGCAATAATTGGCTCTTTAATTTTTAAGAATCTATCAAGCATATCATAAGTGGAGTTCCAACGAGTAGGGCAATCTTGCTTAAGTTTTAAAATTGGAGAATCAGTTTGCTTTTGCATTTCCTGCAACTTTGCCAAGCCATGTGAACTCCTTTTAAAAAATGATACAATATCCTTTACTTTATCTACAATGGACTCAATCACCTCAATACCATTATGTACGATTAAATTAATTGTATGTGCAAAACACGATAATCTCCTCCAATTGCATTTATCAATAGCAGACTTCATATTTGATGCATTATCAGTCACTACTGCAGATATTCTATCAGACAATCGCCACTCAGCCACAGTATCTTTCATAAATTCAGAAATGTTATCAGCGGTATGACTCAGTGGAAAACTTCTGCAACCTAACAAAACACTTTCTAATTTAATATCATTTTCAGGATCTATAAAATGTGCGGTTACTGCAAAAAAACTTTGATTGTTTCTCGATGTCCAACCATCGCAGGTTAAGCATACAGCGGATACATTTTGTAACTGAGTCCTAACCTTTTGAACTACCGATTCGTACATTTGGGGTAGTAAGCTATTTGAAACAGTCTTCCTCGAAGGAATAATATACGTGGGTGACAACATATTAATCAGTTTTCTAAATTCACTGTCTTCAACTATACTGAATGGGTGATATTCTTTCACAATCATCTTTATAAGCTGTTGATCAATTGCTTTAGACTTACTTAAAGCCAGAGGACGTTGTGATTGGATAAAATGTGTCATTGGCAACTGATTGGGGATTGGAGCTTTTACTACTGATGAAGTAGATTTTACTGGAACTGGCTGAACAGATGTTGAAGGTTGGGGATCATCTACAACCTCGGCGTTTAATTCTTGTATCTAGATAATAAATTTAGATATTTAAATTCACAAAAATGAAAACAACCAAATACTTTACCATATTTACCACCTAATAAACTATAGCTATTTAGTATTTACTATAACTATAACCATAATTATTTTTTTATTATATTTTATTTTTTTATGATTGTTATAAAATATTTACCTGATTTGATCTTTGTAGTGGAACTGATATATGTTTGGTCCTCATGTGCCTTATAAGATTACCAGTAGAACCACCAGCAATACTTATTTTTTTACTACAATAATTGCATTTTGCCATATTATCTGGTGTAAGTGTAAAGTGATTCCATATATTACTGCGCTTTTTTAAAATCAATGGATTTTGCGTAGACATTGTAATTAATTATAATAATAATAATGTTTGTACAATTACTATTATTATTTATTAGAATTAAGAAAATAGAAAATAGAAAGAAATTAGAATTAAGAATCACCACACATTCACTGAAAAAGTCACAACTCAGTACTCACATTGAAGACAGGCAAATAATTTGTTGAGTACTAGTGAGATTAAAATATAAGTATTATTGGGAAAATATAAAATTCCAGTTTTGCAACAGTTATTATATTCTTATATTTTTCATGGACTATAGTACTACAGTACTATACTTTAATAAAGTAACATATTTAACAGATTTAGAAAATATGTCATAAATCTCTTATCTTAATAGCATCAAGTTTGGGTGTACAAATTTACAAATAACAAATTTATATAAATATCAAATAAATCCTTTATTGTTAAACATTTTTAAATCATTAACTTAATGTATAATATACTATAATAATGACAATAATAAATAAATATATTTTAAAGAAGAATTCAAATTTTGGTGGGATTTTGGCATGTATTTTACATTTTGATGTATTCAAAATGACGGATAATCATAATAGATGATGTATGCAGTAATACTATCGGATCGTTCAAATGACCCGTTTTACGAATCATGTGTACTGTGTAGTAGGAAGGCAGGTAGTCGTTCGTTAATTCGTTGGCGGGACGCGTGAACGATATGAACGATATGAACGAATCACATGAACGGGTCTTTTGAATGACCCGATCCGAACGACCCGAATCGTTCAAATGACCCGTTTTGCCCATCACTACCGCAAACAGGCTTCAGTGTGGTGTTGTGTGTATGTTAGACGGTGCTTATCACTGACGACTGTTATCGTGTGTTTGTCTTGTTATTTGGTGTGTTGTGTTGTGTTGAGC